AATTTATAGTTTGTGAAGAAGTGATGACATGACAATCTCATTTTGATGGAAAGAAAAATCTCTTAGTTAAGCTCCTTTTATTTGAGCTAATAAATTCGTGGTTCCACAACTCCACAATACTTTCTTACATGACCTTCTTATAAAAGAAATTAGGGATATTGACCCAAAAGGGCCAATTTACCGCTTAGTCGCAGTCCTAGCAAGGAAATCGGCACGTTCGTTCCTAATAGCATCTGTATGACCACGAACAAATGAAAATACAACGAAATATTTTTATCTTTTAGGTTTTTTTCATTTGTTTTTAAATCTCTATAATGATATTATTAGAGGAAGAAATTCATTTTAGGATCCCAAGGTATCAGTACAAATAGGATAGTATGAAACAGCAATATTTTGTTCAGAGATCCATTTGATGGCGAAGTTTAAGCACAAAAATTCAGCTATGAAAACAGTACATTCATCTCTAATTCTAAATTGAAGGTACTCAAATTCAAGACCATTTATGAAGACAATAAATGCGAGACCAACCTTGCCATCAATTTCTGCCATCAGTATAACAAGTTGCAGGTGAATCATCTATTATTTTATTGCTAAATTGAATAATATTAACAGCATTTCTTTCTGAAGGATGAGGGAGATCAGAGGGGAGGTAAAATACAATCATATCGAGAGACAGCAGAAGCAGAAATATTTTCCCTATAGGCAATATAATGAAGAATGGCAATGTCGATTGGAGGAAAACCAGAAATTGCATAAATAGGCTCATGCCTAAAGGTACGATATCCACATATGACCTGCAGAAGTAATCCGCGTTTGAACGCGTCGTAAATATTTATAATTTATCTTCTTCTTAAGCGATATACCCCAGACTCTAGAGCCATACATAATGAAGGGTGCAATTCCTTGTTTATAGATGAACGAATGAACGTTGTAATTAATACCGTATGTGTTGCATGAAGTTCGACTTAATTCACGCTGTAATTTATCACATTTCTCGGATATATAAGTGTAGCTTCTAAGCAAATCTACAGTCAAGAAAAAACCCAAGGTATTTCATTTGCTTTACCACAGTCAAAGGGGTGCCGTCGAGAAATAAATGAAATGCATCCTAACAAATGTTTCGCTTTTCAATAATCATAATTCTGGTTTTATCATTTAAAACCTTTTGACCAGTCGGAGGTGAGATTTAAAGTCTCTTGTGCCTCGAAAAAAGTAGCAGAAATGTCCCTACTCTGGAAGCAAAACAAGATATCATCCGCAAAGGCTACAGTATCGCAACAAGCAAGATTTTCCAGCTTTGATAGGAGATCATTAGTAATAATATTCCAAAACGTAGCTCCTGAACCTGAGCCTTGAGGGCAACCCCTTTCAAGGGGAAAATTATTCATTGGAAGTTTCACCTTTTTGAGAAAATTGAGAATACAAGGCCACCACGCATTGTCGAAGGCGCTCTTAATATCCAAAAAGACCAAAATAGTTTGCAAGTTTTTCTTTTTATCTCTCTGAATAAGAGAGGTAACTCTCTTTTTGAAGAGACCGAGGATGTTTTCTTCATAGAATATAACGCCTTCAGAACACTTTAGCTCTCTGTATAAATGTCATATATTGCGACCTGTTACTTCTGAGAAAAGCATTTTCGCCATAAAAAGGCTTATTTTAAAGCTATTGCTTCGGCTTGGTTAACTGCGCTTGAATTATTTTTATTATTTTTTTTATTATTAAGTTTTTGCATATTGCAACTTGTTTATGCAGTATGATCATATAATATAGAGCCTAGCACAATTAACAGTACGTGGAAAAAGTGAATTTTTTTAAACTGAGTTGGGAGTGCATGAGAAAACTGAACTCCTGTTTTTAGTTTTGTGATATCAGAAGATGAAGGAGCTTTCGGGATCAAGCATTTGGCTTAGTATGCGTCTTCTTTTATCAGTTTCGAGATTCCATCAATATATATATGTTTGTGCATAACAATGATCTGTCTGCCCTTATCAGCTTTAGAAATTATAATTAAAATTATAATAATTAGGATTGGTAACCATTTGAAGTCTTGAACATAGGAAAAATCAAACAAATTTGGCAACTGTAGCTGAAAATATATGACTCGTCTCTTCGAATGATAGCTGATGAGGTTAAATCAATAAAAGCACTGCTTACAAAATTGTCCTGGTAAATCTTTTGCAAAAGAACATTTTTTTCTTGTTTTGTTCCTGATGCACTGACCGCAGAACAGAAAGAAAATCGAATCTCTACGTATCATGATCCGAATGACATACATAAATCCTAGTTTTTTTCCAAACAAATTGTGACCGGAGATGAAGCTCGGGGCTTTTTTTTATGGTCCTAAGATAAAACGGCAAGCATCTGCGTAAGTTCAAAATTGTTGATCATGGCAACAGCAGCTCTGACTTCAAAACTCTTGAATAAAGATCATACTGATGCTTTTTTTTTATTAAAAGTAATAACTCAGGAGGATTGTTTCCCTAAGAGATAGATAGCGAATTACATATTTTATAAAGACGTGATGAACACACTTTTGAAGAGAATATAGAGCGTTAGAACTGAGAAACAGAATAGCTGGTTTCTGCTTCACAGCAATGTGCCGTAACGCGATTCCATTCTTTTCAAGCAGTTTTTAACAAATAAAAGCGTTACACTACTCAGCCCCATGTTAAAAATGTTTTTAACCCCACAAGTAAATCTTTCAGTGCGCTCTCTATCTTTCAAAGTTGGAAACAGAAACTACATGATGTACGAATATGCTTGGCTAGACTATTTGAATATAGCGAAGCACACAGCGGCTACCTTACATAAGGTATAAGGTATTTCTCCCGCTTTTCTAGCGTGCCTTCGTGGTGGAGTGATCAGCACACTGAGCCGGTATTTCAGAGGTCCGCGGTTCGATTCCCGGCGAAGGCGATTGCTCATTTTTCATCTCTTCCGTTTCCCAAAATCCTAATGTCTCTACAGTGGTGCCCGAACTAAAAGGGTGTTGGATGAGGATTCTCCATACCCAGGATGTGGCGATTGGGTCCCCTAAAAACGCCAGTCACCCTTTAAAAAAGGGGTGTATATAAGGTATTTCTTCCGCTTTCCTAGCATGCCGTCGTGGTGTAGTAGTCAGCACACTGAGCCGGTATTTCAGAGGTCCACGGTTCAATTCCCGGCGATAGCTCATTTTTCATCTCTTCGGCTTCCAAAAATCCTAATGTCTCTACAAGGGAGGCCTTCGCGGCAGATTTTTTAAGGAAACCTAGCTCGGATTCACATTACACTTGGAGAAATCTAGGAAAACCAGTTATGCAACCAGCCCTTTAGCAACCCGGGTAGAACTACCAGGATTCAAGGATCTTAACCACTTGACAGCTAATGGGGCCAAAGGCCTGAAAATACTCAAAATAATTTCTGTTACAAATTATAAATTAATGTGATTGCTGTTTGTTTTATGCCATTTTGGCTTAAGAAAGGTTTTACAGAAATTCTCTACTTCTATAAAGTGAGTAAAGATTTATTAAAGTGTTAAAAAAATATTTAGAAGTTCTTAGATTAGTTCTCTGTTTCGCTGAAAAAATTGTCATAGAATTAATTTGTATTCACAGTTCGAGTTTGTATAAAAGAAAACTTTATTAAAAGGAATTTTCAGAAATCCCACTCGAATCAGATATCTAATGTTGAAAAGAAATTCACAGAATTTTATACTTTAAAAGAACTTTTGGTCAAAATTGACTTAAATTTGAAATTTGTTGAACTATACTAACATGTTGGATGTAAAAAGCTTTTGAAGTTACAAATGAAATCCATTGTTTTTAGCATCTTAAGATCAGATACCACTTTAAGTTAGCTTTATTCCTAAAGAACTTCCGAAACATCATTTATTAAGCAACTGTTCTTGAGCACTTTAAGTTATCAGTTTCATTTTACGACTTTTTTTTTTTTTTTTTCAATGACGGGCTTTAGCCGTTTATATGTGTTGACCTCTACTAAGATCGGTAGCGGTGGTCTCTTTATCATAGGGGCACCGTTGACTCCCATGAAGGAACGGGCAAATTACATCCCTGACTTCTCCGGGATTCGAACCCGGGCTCTTTGGTACCGCAGTTAAAGTCACTAACATCTTTCTCGCCTGGACGGCTCATTTGAGAACTTGATAACGGACGTTTTAGCAAATTACTAATATTAATTTAGTAGAACTAAAAAAACCACTGTTTTATAACAGCTCGTATCCGTTTTAGGCCTTTTATTCGCTCTAAGTTATCCGAAAATTGCATTTAAAGGGACAGAGAATTAATAATAATTTTAAGCCTTTAAGGCTTAAATAATAATTAGCTAACATGATATGTTTGTTAAATTATGAACATGCGTTTCAGTAAAAGAAGACTTAATCCATCATATGAAGGAGAACGAGCGTCAAAACAGAGTAATAAAAAAAAAAAAATAAGAAAATAAGCTTAATTCAGAATAAAAAAATTAAAAAAAAAAAAAAAAACTATTAAGCATGAATCAGGGCCAAAACATTCACGTACAAAAGACAGTTTAACAGTTTATGAAGAGATTTCGGGCTGAAATATTCGGCTAAAGGGGACGGTGTTAAATAAGTCAAGACCATTAGTGTGCTCCCTCGGAGAGAAACCAGAATTCTTCTCAATTTGTCAAAAATCCCTGAGGTAAAGTTTAACGATCACGAAGAAGATGCTATACATGAGAAGATTCACTGGGCCCAAAAATGGCATGGTCTTATTCTCCACCCCTAGACGTGTGCCTAAGGGGAGGGAGGAATTCAGCCGTGTTCTCTTTCTTCGAAACTTCTATGGGATCTTATTGACCGCGTGCCGCACGTGTGAGGGAGCGCACCCCCCACCCAAACGTGCTTTTTTCATCCAATAGGAAGTGAGCTAATTTTGCGCTACGCTTTTCGTATACGGAGACCATATCTGGTTGCACCCGTTTAAAAGTGCTTCTACGTTATTTTCACTTTACAGAACGGATTTCGGACGTAAGTGTCTCACAAGCGTTTAGTACCTCTCTATTCTTGTGTGTATTTTGCCTTTGTTCTGTGCCGTACGCCTCCCAGGATACCTATCCGCTGTAGGCCTTCTCTGCTTTCTTTTACCGTGGATTTGCTTTCGCCCGAAAATTTCAACTGATTACTGGGGTTTGATAATTTTACTTCACTTTGGAATGTGAAAATGGATTATTAATCATCGGTTTATATATTTATCATTAGAAGAAATTTTTGAATGAGAAAAAGTTTCATCTGTGGTAACAATCTGAAATAGAAAAATTTACTTTCTTTTAAATAATTTATATGTTAAAACAAATTTTAAGACCTAAAAGGAGTAATAGTTTAAGTTTCTTCTTAAATAACGAAGTAAATGTTTGAATTAAGTACTGAACTTTTTCCTCCGTTACGTGTTTTACTGTTACAGAAAGAGAAATAATGCTTTGTCTGCAAAATTATTATTTATTATTTTTTCTACATATTTATTTATAAAACTATAATTTGAATTCGGTCAAAAGAAAACCTAATCTAATTAATGTTGAATGTTATTTACGAAGTTTTTCCCCATGAAGAAAAAGGTTTATGGGGACGATAAGAAGTTAAATCTTGTACTTAGAAATAATGTCGTAATTTGATAACTCTAATTAGTTACCATTTTATTTAAAAAATATTATCCGCTCTCAATACCTTAATACTTTGTCTAAACATTTACTAGTATTTCATGACAAAGATTTAAAGAACTAAAATAGTTCGATTACTTAGATAAGGATGGAACTTTCTTATTAATAAAATGAAATTTTAAATTTATACATTAATTTATTATGATCTAAAATGGAGCAGATTCCATTGACTTCAGATTTTGAATACGGGGTTTTTGAAGTATTTTACTAGAGTAATATTTTAGTTTTTTACAGCATGTTCTTAGATTTATCTTTATAACTTATTTTGTATAAGTTTTATTATTTTTGTCACCAGTAAGAGTTCTCTTAAAATTATCTTATTTAAATTCTCTCATTTCCAGATAAAAATATTAAAAGGCCAAATGTTGCTCTTAACATTTTAAAAGTAAAAATTAATTATCTTAAATATAATGGCATACATCATACGAGCTATAAGTTTGCTTAACACTATATATCTTAAATATATTGCCAGGAAGCTCCTAAAAATAAAAAAAAAAAAGATGCATATTGGCAATAATTCAGAAAGAAATATGTATTCTTCATTCAATAATGAGTTAGTTGTATTTATATTCTATGATATTATTACGTGTGCAAGGGATGGAGAACGATTATACCAATCACCGTTGTTCGTTTGGAGAACAAACGAGGCTCGGTTTTGAAAGACAATAAGCTCGTTGGTTCTTGAAGTTCCGTGACGTAACGTTGTCGCTGTTTTCTCATATATCACTCACAACAGCAGAATTTCTTTCTCCTGAACAACGTCTGGATTTCGATTTCGGTATTTATTCTTTAAAAATAAATATATTCTATAGTTTATTTGTTATTAGGATTAAGAAAATTATTCCTAAATTTCAATTTGACTACGAAAATTGTATTGCAAATATTTTCTAACCATATTTTTCGTTAAGAAATTAACTAACGATGTTGCTAAAATGCATAAATAATATAATAATGCTTTATCCGATAATTTTAAAATATATTATTTAAATATTTCTATTCTTATAAAATATTAATTTATTCATTATAGCATCAAAAGAAATTTATATTCTCTTGTTAACAAAAGCTGTCTTAAAGTAATTGCGTGCTACTCATCGTTACTTTTAGCTACTTATTTTGAAAATAAACCTCTTGATATTAAATTACTGCGAACCAAGTTAGTAATAATAGTTATGTTATAATAAATTAAAAATAAGACTTCTAAAGTCAGTTTTCACTACTTTATATAAACAATGGGATGCAATGTACTTAATATAATTAATAAATAATAATTATTATTTGAGAAGCATTTTAAAAATTTCCTTAATTTGGACATCTAAATATTATATATATTTATCATTATATGTATTATATGTTTAAGGCTCACTTATTCTGCTTAGTATATCATTTTCAGAATTATTATAGTGTAACTATTTTTATATTATATTTATTGCATTGTAGCTATTTATATTCTTGTTATAACTCAGAGACTTGTAACAAATTATGCATCAAATTTTCGATTTATCCATAAAATATGTATATTACGTTATATAAATAAAAATTAAATTATAAAAATTTAGGCTTTTAAATTTAAGCTTGGAAAATGAAGGGTGATCCAAAAGTCACGGACATCAAACTTTAAAGAATTATAGAAGTTCCACAATGGATATTAATGGCAATTTGTTTCAATAGATGATACCCCTATTCTGTTACAAGTAACTTGAATTTTCAGTTGTAAGAAATGCTATTGGCTTTGAAAAACGGAGTTTTCCCAAGCAAAACGAATTTTTTTGACTGCGCATTACTTCGCAGAACATAAATTTGATGCGACGTCATCTTATCACAATCTTAGTTGGTGACTACAACATTTTATTTCTGATCTCTTCCGTTTTGTCTGAACTGAAATGCTACAGGCAACTATTTCATTGATTATGGTGAACGTTTTCCTTTCCTCAAAATTAGGTTACCAAGTATAAAATAGTTGTCTTGTTAAGTTCACGAACATTTGGGAAGGTTTTTTAAACGCTTCAATGGTAACTTTACCCCAGGAATGCTTGCAAAATACGCTCAGTCATAAAAATTCCCTCTGCTTGGAATAAACTCATCGTGCACCAAACAAATGATTTTTAAAATTAAAAACATAAACTGCAAATGGAATTTTCAAGTGATAACTATAAAAAGTTAAATATCATACTTAAAGTCGTAATTTGATAACTTAAATTAGTTTCCATTTTATATCATCCCTAAACATTTACTAGCATTTCACGACAAAGGATTTAAAGAACTAAAGTTGTTCGATTACTTAGATAATCGTGTTAGTGACTTAGTGATTAAAAGCATAAACTACAAATGAAATTTCAAGTGGTATAATACTTGTAACAGAATAGAGATCTCAGTCATTGAAACAATTTGCTATTAATATCCAGTCTGAAGTTTCCCGAAATTTTGCAGTCACGACTTTTAGACCACGCAGTGTTCATAATTCTTATTTTTGATTAAAATAATTATTAAAAACAAACTAGTAATGAGATATATTTTTTGCACCTCAAAAATGATTTGCTTTTTATATTTTTTTTTGTCTTTTTTATTCAAAGCTTAGTGCTTGAAATTAACGTATTGTAAATCATTGATGTTTGTCACATTTTAAAAAATACATAAAAATTCTGTTAATTAATGGATGAATAAATCTAAATAAATCGAAAAAAGAAATTATGAAAGGGTTTGTTAAGAATTTTTAACATGTTAAAGTAATTACTTATCAAACCTTTATGTTTAAAATTTTTGAATAATTATATTTCTCATGTTAAATCCGTAATATTTATACTCACTTTATATAAGATAAAACATAGAAATTTAAATTAACATGTCTATAAATATGGTATTTAGATTTAAATTACAATTACTAATACAACTGAAATTAAAATTAATCACAGCAGACGGGGAAAATGTAATTATTTCATGAATGACGAGAACCACCATGACTATTTACATACTTTTGTTCTGTTATAGGTTATTTTTCAGTTAAGGAAAATGTAAAAATAGAAGATTTTTTAGTCACTCACATTTGTACATTATTGTGGTTATAAAACAGTATATTTCTGCTGAAAGAAATTTAGTATTATATAAGAGAAAAGTTTCGAATATGAAGTTAAGAATATTTCATTTGAGAAGAATTAACTTATTTTGTAAAGTTTTAAATAAATTTCAGAGCAAGTTGCATTTTATTGAAAATAAGCTCTCTTCGTTTACTAAATAACAAGCTCCAGGAAAAATTTATAAGTAATTTGGAAAGATAATAAAAGGGCCTTCAAAAGCATCAGTTTAAACAAATTGGGATTTTATTTCCCTCAATTTTGGATATTTCTTTTTAAAAAATGTATTTAAAGTTCTGCGAGAATAAAATCATCACATATTTCCTTTCACTCCTCTTTCTTTGAAACCAATTTAGAGAAAGCAACTTTTATGTTTATTATTCTTACTAAACTTTCGTCAGGGTTATGACTTGACTTTAAAGATAAGCGAAATTTATTCTGTGACTGACGTTAATTTCAATCATAAATTGAATATATTTTTAGAAATAAAACAGCTAAATAGATATCTTTAGGAATTCAAATCGAGTATTCTGTTTGATGCTAAACACTTGCTTGTCCTTGTAACACAGACCTCAATTATTTTTTCTTTCAAAATTTATCACTCTTTAAAACATAAATTAATATCATTCTAGAAGAGAATTGTGTTTACTTTATAAGGTATTTCTCCCGCCTTCCTAGTGTGCCTTTGTGGTGTAGTGGTTCTGTACACTGGGCCGGTATTCCACAGGTCCATGGTTCGATTCCCGGCGAAGGCGTTTCTAATTTTTCATCTTGTCTGCTTCCAAAAAATACCTAATGTCTCTACAGTGGCCCCCGAACTAAAAGGGGTGTTGGATGATGATTCTCCTCACCCAGGATTTGGCGATTGAGTCCCCTAAAACCCCAGTAGCCCTTTAAATGGGGGAGTATATAAGGTATTTTCTCTCGCCTTCCTAGCGTGCCTTCGTGGTGTAGTGGTCAGCACACTGAGCCGGTATTTCAGAGGTCCGTGGCTCGATTCACGGTGAAGGCGGTTGCTCATTTTTTATTTCCTTTGCTTCCAAAATTCCTAATGTCTTTACAACTTTAAAAGCTTTATCCTTCAGGAACTTACATTTGTGCATGATATCCACCTCAAATGAAAAGGTAGAATGCAGAGCGTGACAATTTTAAAATAATATATATATATGCGATATTTTAATCAGAATGAAATATTAGGGCGGGAATTAGCACTGTATAATTGCGTTTTTGAGATTCCAAATTAGAAATTTTATTCAGTTGTAGATTAGCATCCTTCTTCATTTCTTATAAAGATAATGGATTTATTTTAAATAAAATGCAATTTTTTTAAAGTTATTATGCACTAAATTATGTTATAACACTGAAATGACTTTTAGATGAATATGAAACAGAGATGAAAAATACAATTAAGAATACATTAATTTTCGAAGAATTTTAAAGAAATGCTTTAATAATCTTAACGCTTATTTTTGTTGATCTTCTAAAAATTCATTTACGATTTATATGTATTGCATAAAATAGTTTGTGTTAAACAAATCTTCTAGTAAATAGTTTAACTAAGTGAAAACGTTTTTAATATGGAATTAAACGTTAGTTGACCGAATTCCTTTAACTAAATTTGTTAGTCATGTATTTAAAGTTCTCGAAGGCACTGGTAGTTCATGACAAAGCGCAATGTGTTGGACAAAGCTCTATTTATTTTCCTTAGCTTATAAAGTGAATATAACATCCTATTTAAACAGAAATTACAATTTATATTTATTTCAAAGGGTAAAGCTAAGAATAATTGGTAAAGTTATCTTAATTCATTCTAATTAAATAGTTCATGAACAAAACCATATATGGTTCCCCAACTGATATGTTTTGATTTCTTAAATCCATGTTTAAAATAAAAATATCAATGACTATTAATTAATCCCATTTTTTTCTGCTTAATCCTGATTTTTAATTTTAATTTGCATGTTACTTTTAAGTTAAAATAATTTTCCCTAGTTGTTAAGAATCTATTAATGATCATCTGAAAATTCCACCATTATCAGCATGTGAAAGAAATTTTACCAACAGCTGCAAATGTTGCAAATGTTGCAACAGCTGCAAAAGTTGGCTTTCGGCTACAGAATTAAGAATTTACGCAATATATGCTCTGAGGAGAACCTCTGTCAAATTCCGAATCTTGAATGCTGGTGTTAGTTATACAGAATCTTCAAGTTTAAATCCTCCGAGCTTTATCCTTAGATAAAAGAAGATTTATACTTCTTTCTGTCAATTTATTGACCTTTCTTAACCTTAGTCTCAAGAGATCTGGCTCATAATTTTGTCTTTTAATTTGCTAACTTCACTTCGAAAAACAGAACCTTGATAAAATTTGGCTAATGAAATCTGGCACTGAAACGAACTTACACAGCAAATGATGGATATAAGGAACATAGTTGGCTGTTATAGCATACTGCCTAGAACCTTGCAGCGTACCTATTCAGTGAGTGTCTGTGCAGGAGTGAGAAAGCTCAGATCCCTAAACTAACTATTGAATGAGGATGGGCTCATATCCATTTTGAAAGTGCAATTGTCACGTCATATCAGGCGGGGGTGAAAAGTTCCCGAGCTTCAATGCCAGCTGGAATCCACAGCTTTATAACTCCTTCGATGCAAGTATATAAAGATTTACACATAAACACGGATAAATGTTGTGCTGCATCTTTCCATCTTTCCTCATATTTGCAGATTTCCTTTTTTTAAACACCTTTTCGCGGGGTTTGTTCTTTTCAATAAAATCATTTAACAATCTACTTCCGGTAAACATCATCCGAAAGCGATCTAATGAAATGAATGCACTGCTATATCTTGATTAAATAAGTTTTTGGTTTATCAAATAAATGCAGAAGTGTCATCGCGGTTTAATTTATGATGAAATAATATTCTAATAATTTTTTTGTACAACTTAGCATTATTGTTTTTAAAAGTTGGTTTTAAATATATAATGATTTTTTAGTACCATATCTCGAATTCTTGGAAGATTAGCTCTTAAAATGGTAGGCTAAGTGTAATTGTTTAGCTTAAGATTGTTTTAGGCACTAAATTTGTATACTGAGTTTTGACAAAAAATTTTAAACATATAGCATCTGAAACTTTACAAAAAGAACTGCATAAATTAAAAAATTAGGACCTATACAAATCATCTGAAAATTGCATTTTAAAAAATTTATAATTTTTTTAAATATGAGAATATTTTTTAAACTTTTTAAAGTTTGTTGATTGTAATTAATTGTTAACTCTTCGAGACTGTTATCTGAAATAATCAGATTGAACTCGAAGTGAAACTGGACTCGACATAAGCCAGTTTCTATTTAATTATAATTAATATTATCAAAATATATCCATCCCTAAAACCCATACCAAAGTAATATCTGACTTCAATTTTCTTTTTTACCCATTTTTACTTGAGTTGATAGTTAATTTAGATTAAAAAGGGCTATAAAATTATTTTTCATTAGTGACTCTCTTGATAATTTTGTTTTCGTAAGAAAGTGAGCTTGTAAGGAATTATCGCATTCCTCTGTGCGTATTTTCGTGATGTAAGTTGTTAATATATCTAGTTATATTGGAGGTTTAGTGGTTCGAAGCCTCTAAACCTCCAATATAACTAGATATATTAACAACAATGTACAATTAATGTACAATTAAGTTTTAATGCTTTTGCTTCGAAGAAACATTACAGTCTGTAGAGTCATTAGGTTCTTTTTGAAGAAAGAGACGTGAAAAATGTGCAATGCCATTGTTGAGACTCGAATCCTGGACCTCTGGAATACGTATCGAATATGTTTTCAATTACGCCACGAAGGCATGCAGAAACGAGTGAGAAAATATCTTACATGTCTTCACAGTGGCGCCTAAGACAAAATATGGTGGAACCTGTATTTGCCTGACTTGTCTCGTGCCCCTTTTCTAGTCGCCTTCTAAGTGTGGGAGAATGTAAAAGAATTTCGCTCTTCTCTATGCGGGCTGTTGTGCTATAAATGGTAAAAAGCAAATGTAATATCCATGACACAAATCCCAGCAAAAGAGTAACTGATTTTTTCCTGTTTGCTGCTTTCAAAGAAACCTAAGTTACTTTCGCATTCAGATTTTTTTCAAAAGCTTAAAAACTGCATTTAATAAGTCAGTTTTATAAAATTATTGAAGCAGAAAGATAAAAAAGTCAAATTTTGATAACAAATTTAGAATATTTTGCATACTATTTATAAAAGCGTTCTTACAGGAAATCTGCTGAAAACGTTCTGTTGATCACCGCACCGAACGTCTGAAATCACACAGCCATGACGAAGCACCACGATGCAAGCGAGGATCCTGATCCCTCTGAATATCTTTTCGTTTCCTTGGAACAGAAACGAAAAGATCAGACAAAGCCGTACGATGGCAAGAAGATGGTTTGGGTTCCAGATGAGAAAGAAGGATTTGTGCTCGGAAATATCATTTCCACTAAGGGTGACATGTGCACAGTTGACGTTAATGCAAATGAGGTGAGACGCGGGAAATTTTATTCTTACGTTTGACAGGCTTGAGAAAACTGTCTTAATATTTTGAAATTATGCCTAAAATTAACAATCATTTTCTGCGATGCAGAATAATGCAGAAGAATATTGCAGTTACTCGCAAAGAGTTTCAGCTTTGCGTAAATTGTAAATGATTTTACTTGTAATTTAATTTAAACTTAAATTACTGAAATTTCAGTAAACATTATTAGGCACATTTAAATTACTGGTAGATGTGCATGTTTAATTTAAACTATTGGACAACATTTATATTTAATTTAATTTGTTAACAGGCACACGCGTTCAGTTTAAATTACCGAAACTTTTCTAAACAGGTTTTATGTCGCATAGGAGTTTTAATATGTAAGTGTTTTAATTGAATGCAGATTTAGGGCGCAACAATTTAGTCAATCTGATGTAAATGCTCACTAGTTTGCCTGTAAATATAGTATTACTTTAACATTATTTTGCAATATAATTCTTTAAAGGAGTTATAAATTTAGGACTTAATTTCATTCGCTAAATAAAAATATAAAAATGGGTTTAATCGCAAAATCTGTGACTAGACTTGAATAACGTTGTTATTAGTAAATCCTAGTTTAGAAGTATTTTGAAACTCAACTGGGAATAACTATAATAAAAAATTACATTAATTTTTTGGCACGCTATAAAATTTTGATATTACTCCAATGCTACAACGTATGTTTTAGTATTTAGTTGCGCACCACAAACATTTTGATATCGAATTCTTACAAAAGCAAAATTAAATTTTTATTAAACTTCGAATATTCCAGCAAACGGTATTTATATTATGCTTTAAATGTTAAGATTAACAGAATTATTGCAGGGCTTAAATCATTTTTTTCACTTCATACCAGAAAGTTATTACGTAATGCTTTCAGTTTTTTTAACTCGAGAAGGTAATTAAATCTTTATTATATTCGTTATAATTCTCTTATTTTCTCGTTTTATGGATTGCGCTTAAAAATTACAAGCAAAATACAACAAAATTTTTCTTGTCACTTATCTTTCTGGTGAGTGTGCTTATAAATCTTATCATGTGGTCTGATAAAAGAGCATTTTAGATCTAAAAACTGAAAGTAAACTATGCATCGCAGCATTAATTAACTGCGGCTTTCAAAGATCTTATATATTTCAAATTTCTCAAGTATCTACCTGTTTCTGCAGCGAACACTGAAAAAAGAACAGCTTCAACAAGTGAACCCACCGAAGTTTGAAAAATGTGACGATGTTTCTTCGTTGACATATTTGAACGAAGCAAGCGTCTTGCACAACCTTAGAGATCGGTATATCAACTGTAACCTCATTTACGTAAGTAATGTAATCGGCCACATCTGTGGCCGAGAGGAAAGACACTATGGAAACAAGCTGGTAAAACTTCTGAACAACGAAAGGCTGTCGTTGATAGTAAGAATAAATTTAACTGTAAAGTTTGTTTTGTTGAAGAACTTTCAAGCATAAGGAGAAACTATTTTGCAGGTTTCCTTGCCCAAGCATATAACATGGAACCTGCAATCGTGTATTGTTTACGAATACATACATTCTAAAGCATTTGCAAAAACTATTGGGACGATGGTACATGATTTTCTGCCTTGCACACTCTGGCATAAAATTAATAAATATAAATAAATAATCTTCAGTCACAAGAATTACCTTGCAATTTTTAATATTTTAGAAAATTTGGTAAAAGTAACTGGAAGTGACTGTAACAAAACTCCTTCAGCAAGTCTTGTTAAAGCTTGTGCAAAATGAAAACACCGAAAATATCTTATGACAATTTATAAAAGAACATTCTTACCATTTATGATAAAGCTGTTCCAAAATGTCTTTCCTCCCGATCATTTTTTACTCCTTAATTTTTCTAATATGTTTCTTGTTTTATTGCTCTTGAAAATAGAAACAAGTGAAAAAAGATCAACTCCAACAAGTGAATCCTCCCAAATATGAAAAAACTGAAGATATGTCGAACCTTACGTATCTAAATGACCCCAGTGTACTTTACAATTTAAAAGAGCGATATTATGCCAAACTCATCTACGTAAGTATTGCCTGAAAAAGCATGCTTATTAACCTGCATGACTGATCTTTTTTACTAAGTTTTTGAAACAAGTTTTGCTAACAAAGGAATTTGATTTAGATTTATTTAGCTTCGTAATAAGAAGGATATTTTTAAAAGTGAACATTTTTAAGGCAATACGCGAAAATGCTAGTACGTAATGTTATTTTATTTTTTGTATTTGTTTTGATGTAACTTAGTTTTTGCAAGCTTTTTTTCTGTTTAAAAGTTCTTACTCTTTAACCTTCCACATGAATATTTGCGAAGTTTTTTTTCTCTTTTTAGTAAATACTTTTGAAGGAATACCTATAAAATTTAATCCGGCTAGAAGTATTTTGATATTTTTTTTGCTAATTTTTTGAAGTGTAACATTTTGATTTTATGTAATTTTTTATGCTTAGCACAATACTTAGCACAATCACGAATTTTTCTTACAAAGAAGAGTTGGCATTATTAAAATACTCCTGAAGGTGATTTTAAAAGAAATCACAAAGTTACACTTTTTTAGCAACACAAGCGTCAAAATCAGATCTTTTATACGAAATATGGCAATCGTGAATTTGAAATGTTTTAGAAGAATAAAAGAGACTTGTGTATTATGTAAGATATATGTATATGTACTGCTAGAGTATTAGACATTTTAATTAATAACATTTCTTTGCATTTAAAATCTTTCAATCGGCCGAGCAGTGTATACTCGTATATATTTTCAAAGATACATTTCCACAGTCCTTTAAATAAATATATAGACTTGCATCATGAAATATGTTCCCAAAATTATGACTGCTTTCCGGAAGGAAAAGAGTTCATTTACAGAGCAGCAAAAACATTTTCGAATTGACATTAAAGAAATACCTTTAAGATAAAGGTATTTCTTAAAGCTTTAAAAGGAGCTTTTTTTGAGAAATCCAGAGTTTCAGGTGAAAACCTTTTGGCCGTTTGAACGGTTTTAAAGAATGTAAACATTTAAAATAAAAGAATAAGTAGTGATAAAATAATTAAGAAGCTTTTTTATTCGCATGTTTCTTTATGAATTTATACATATGTACGCAATATAGTTATCCTTTGATTATTTTCCCTTTGCAACGTTTTACATGTATGTTAATTACCTCCTACATATAGTTAATAAATCCTTAAATTGTATGCGCAGCGTATGATCTCTATTTATAAATTTATATATATGTACCCGTGTGCAACTATGTATGTTAGTATCCATGTCTCAGTACTGTAAGGAATTTTGTTACTATTAGATACTCAGCAACAACATTTTATTGTTAGGGAGATATGAACAAAATTCAGTAATGACATAGTATATGATCTATCATATTTAGTTATTTATTTGTTTTTGAGATGGGGACATTAAAAACGCCTTTTTTTTATATGAAATAAATAAATAATTAAATATTAAATAAAATTTCTCCATTAATTAACTTAATAACCTATTAAATTTCAAATTCCATTAAATTGAAATTCCTTCTAATTTTACAAAAAAAAAAAAAAAATCAGGCGTTAATTAAAAGGTCGTTTTTAAGAGTCATTCAACCATATACATTACGAATATCGTTCATCAAGCCCCCCCTAAAAAATCATCGTTTTCATTAAACGATCTCCACGATGTTTCTGCGAGATAACGTGGAAGTAATGCGATGTAGTAATCCGGGTTTGAGTAGCTTTATAATTAATTCAATAATAATGGCTTTATAAAATAAATAATCTGGTGTGTACACCCTATGACTTTTTATACTACCTATTAAATTATATGCATTTTTTGTGGTATTTGATTCATTCACTTCATTTTTTGGTTCATTTTAAACTTATTTCCTCGAATTTTGTTAGAGATATATGTATCTCATTCAATCAATTCAGTTCTCATTTCAGACCAAAATACATAAAATCACAGTCTTAATTAAAAATTGTAAAATACAAGAAAAGCTAAATAAACAAATGCGGTTAAATTTTTTTTTTCCAATTAAAATGAAAGTTTCTGTGCAAAAACAAGCAATTCGCCCAGCAGGCAGGAAAAGAGATTTTTCGGCGCACAAAACTGAAAGTTAACTTTCGGCCACACTCGGCAAAAAGGCACTGAAGTTCGTGCAGAAATTGACTTAGTTCATTAATCCACTAAGAGTTGCAAATGTAAACTAATGGCGGCTTCGTTAGATTTAGTAGCATTCTTAAATACCTTTTAAATTGTTGATAATTCTACAACTAATACAAGCAGATTAATTAAAGGCATCTTAAACGGAACATAAGAACACCATAATTCAATCACTTTTAAAGCAAAAAATGTATAATTTACCAATATATTTATATATATATATAAACTGAACTCATCGAGCCATATAGCAAACTGGGTATGTATGTATACAGGGTCTTTATAAAATCCCATACCCATTTTGATGTTTAGTAACTCATAAAATAATAAAGATAGATTAAAATTAAATAACATAAAATAGTTAGATTAGACTCACAATTTCATGACCCTTTCAATGAAATTCCACGTGTGCCCCTTCGTCGCAGGAGAATACAAGTCGATTATTTCAATTTCATCGCAGGTACCACACAACATTCGCATCCACAGAGGCTATTTCGGTTGTAATTCTGCTTTAGGTCATCAGTTTTCGTCTCCTTCTTTGTAACGTTGTCCTTTACTAATCCCCAAGGAAAAATCCAGCGGCGTTATCAGATGATCGGGTGGCCAAGGATTGGACATCCGCACCCAATCCCTCTTCCTGTAAAATGGTCATTCAAAAACACGATCGATGGTACAACCAATGAGGTGGTTTACCATCTTTTTCAAAAAGAAATGTGGCTGAAAAGTCTTCTAGTTGTGGAAATCAAGTTTTCCACATATCTCTATACGATGATGTAAAAAAATCTAAAAAGAAAGGTCCAATGAACCGGTCGTGCATTAGTTCACCCCACACATTACCTTCGGGGATCCTTTGTGCCTCCGGTATTCATGGGGTTTCCGATCCCCATATGGCCAAGTGCCAAAGTTGCCAAAAACAAAAGAGAGAAAAATGCAATTAATAAGCAGACGATATTTAGAAAAGTACAGATATTAGACTGGAAATGAAATTATCTGAATTAACCACACGCGCAGACGATATTTACAAAAGTCAGATATTCAACCTGAAAAAAATATATAAGTTATTCCATCCATAATTGCCATAAGTTTGTTTATATCTTCATTATTTTATGAGTTATTAAACATCAAAAGGGATCCGGGACATTATAAACACCCTGTATAGTTAATTACTTTTGGTGCCGCTGATTACAGTCAAAAAGGGTTTGTTCTATGTGATTACAGAAAAGCCTCGAAGGCTATTTGCCTGAGAGGGGACGCCTTTATGGAGAACTTTCTAAGGGAAGCTAGCTCGTATGCACGTTAAACATGGGGAAAACCATGAAAATGCTCACCAGCAGACCCGTTCGCGGGATTCGAATCCCGCGAACAGACTGCCTGAGTATCGCCAGTAACTTTACCGCTGGTGGGCTGCAGTCAAGAAGGGAGGTGCCCAACTGCGTATTATAGTAGTCCCATACACAAATTTTCAATGTTCTGAGTTAACTCGTGTTTGAGTTATGCCAGATATATACATACGTACGTAAAGACTTCGTGAACAAATTTATTCTGAATCCATTTTTAAATCCATTTTAAATTCATTTTGGGGAAAAATGTCGTTCATTCAGCCCGTACTTACAGATGTCATGTAAAAACATCGTTCAAA